AATTATTAACTCTAAGACGCTACTGGATTTAACTGAAATTACACGAGGCTGAATAGTTCATTTAAGGCTTTTACTTTATGGTAAAAGTTAGCTGCGCGTTAGCCAACATCTAATGTATTAGGCTCATTTCTAGTCTTTTCAGTGGCTGCAGCTGATGATGGCGACACTAGAATATCGTGTTATAAATCCACATGCCCCTGCACCTCGTCAGCAGGCCGGGTGAGAAGTATGGTCTTCACCAAACCTCCACAGGAACTACTCAGCCGAGTCGCTCCCTTCACTCAAGCACAGAAGCTTTTTCGAGCAGAGGGTGGTGCTTTCGGCGTCTCGTTACAAACGATGTGAGATATATGAAGTAGTAAGTGTATCGTATATTTAATGTCATACTAGGCAGGTTTACTGCATTTCCATTTACAACACATTTACCCGTGTATGGCTATTGTCAGTATATGTTGCTCGTTGTAAAGTTTCTTTAAGTGACATTCATTTAACATTCACAATGATATTGTTGATGGTAACGTGTATGATTACAGCATATCTGACAGGCACTTTTGACTGTACACAGTTGATTTTGTAAAGCCCCTTGCATTGCGTTCATAATCAAGTTCACTGATTGACTGTCCTGCAGTGCTGTTTTCATGTATTCCTGTTTCATCCACTTTAATAAAGTGTCATGTGTTACAGTAACAGTGAGTTGTGGAATCACTTAAAGAATCCCTAAGTTGGGCTTTAATCTGCCTTCAGCATCACAATAGTCCTGAGGTCACTGACAAAACATACAAGTACAAATAAATAAATCAGTTGGTCACCCCCAGAAACGCCCCTGTGATACAGGAAGTTGTGTCAAAGGCAGCTCTTCTCTATTTATAAAACTGTACTTTATTGAAACTCAGCAGCAGTTTCATAATAGACTCCGATAAACATATAAATAAATGTTACACCATTCAGAGACTATTGATTCTTTTATTCAAGAGTCACCTCATGTTTTAAAAGAAAAACAAGATATTTAGCCATTGTTGAGATGCTTAACAAAACACAGGGGGCGGGGTCTCCACAATGCGCGTGGCATTGTGGGAATACCACAATGCCACGCGCAAAGCAGCTTTAGAATAAGTATTTCACATTTATCTGTCGCCCTCAATAACTTTCTGGTGCATGTATTAGGGATATTTACAGTAAAGGTTTATCTTTGCGCATCAAAGATAAACTCAGTAGTTTGTTTGAGTAAACCGTAAGTGATTATGCCAGTGGGAGAAATGAGGTCATTCACGTAGCCGAAATCTCGTCAGCACTCTTGTTTCTCTTCAGATCGTATAAATCTTTCGCCTTTTACTAAAGATTTCCGTGGAGAGGAACAACAAGAGTTTTACTCAATTTTTTTGATGCCCTGCGTTTGCGGGGCTTCTTCTATATGTTAAAAATAATACTTTGTCACTTCAGCGTAATGTTCCAGAAACTCAAAGCGTGTCTTCAGAATTACCAATATGCGACGAATGCACCAATTACAGAGTTTGTTTGTCGCGCACACAACCTCACATTGTGACATGTGGTGAAATGCTTATTACTGTGCAATGCCCGATTATTAAACGACAGTAGAGTTTACAGTTTACATTTTATGATAAAATGTAATGATTAGAAACAACAAATTCTAAGAACAATAAAACAAAAGCACAAGATAAAATTAACAGTAAAAAAGAATGTGCAATTAACGATTTAAGAGATAAATTATAATCAGTGTGCAAATAACAGGGTGCGTGCAGTGACCGTGTGTATGAGAGACCAGTCCTACACCTGGTACAGGGCCCAAATAGCCTGGGGGAAGAAGCTCCTCTTCATTCTCTCTGGTTTGGCCTTAAGGGAGCAGAAGCGCTTCCCAGACCTCAACAGTGAGAAAAGTCCATTGTTGGGATGGGAGAGGTGCATCATAATCTTCCTGGTTTTGTTCTTGCACCGCTTGGTGTAGACGGACAGCAGGTCAGTAAGATCTGATCGGCCGAGCGCACCACTCTTTGCAGATCTCGTCTGTCCTGCTTGCTGCTGTTTCCAAACCAGGTGCAAATGCTTCCCGTCAGGATGCTCTCGATGGAAGTTCTTAAGCACCCTCAGTGGCAGATGGAAGTCTCCAAGCCTTCTGAGGAGAGGCTCGTGAGATTTCTTAAACAGGGTGTTAATGTGACAGGACCATGACAGATCCTGAGTTATGTGTACACCTAGGTACCGGAAACTGTCCACTCTCTCCACTCCCAATATGAACACACACGAAGTAAAAGAATGATGTGACACAATGCAATCACTGCACAGCTTTGCTAGTATCTGCTTACGATATTTTCTAACTATCGCCTCACAGTGGATGTTAGAGCTTTAAAAAAAATTTAACCTGTGGACATCACATTTTGGGTTGTCTAGACCACAATACTAAATTTTACACACATAGGTGTAAACATGTTCCCACGGGGGGGGGTTTAAGTAGCAGTTTTGGAACGAAATGTTTCGTGTTCCATGTTCAGAAGTCTTTTACTGTTCATTTTTTCACCTTTGTAACAGACATACGTCTTCCTGCAACTGTTAGCGGCACTTCAAATAAGCCATATTGCTGAAAGGGGCACAGTTGTTGTTTCTCATTTTGTTTTTGTACTCAGGAAAAATGCCGCTGTGTTCAGACACCAAATAAAGAGTTTTGCACTTTTGTGACTTAGTGTTCCATCAAAATTTAAAAAGAATGTCCTCATATGTGGATATCATTTTTCTCAGAAACTATATCAGGTGAAAGATAATTCTTTGTTTTTCCATTCATCGGGTCCCAATCAGCACAAATAGCAACGAGAAATTAAAAATGCATGCCATGAAAGAGTTCGGAAGAGAAAAAACAAACTATCCGCTTCTTTCTCTCTCCGTCCGCTGGTCGGCAGCAGTGCGCATAGAAGCGGGTTTCCAACAACAAATAAAATCCGAAGAAAGGGGACGGCAAACGGAACTAAATGGCTGCTCCCTTATAAGCACAAGTTAACGAGAGTACATTTATTTAAATCTGTTTGTAGATTAAATGTAAACAGTGCGCGACGTAAAAGAGCGCGAGCGTCTACACGCGGACCTTTATTCCTGCTGTTGAGAAGTTTGAATCCCTCAACCGAGGACAGTCATGGTTGCAACTGATACTGTAAAAGCTGAAGTTTTTAATGACTGTGACAGTTGTGCTGATTTCACACACAGCACGCGGGGCAGCGGAATAATGAGAGCGCCATCTGGAAAGATTTTACTAGAACTAATGTTGATGCAGGGTTTATAAGAGGACTGAGCAGAGGTGAGGGAGTCACAGTGTTGTGCAAAACGTGACTTCCGGTGTTTGTTTTTACGTCTCATATAGCTGCTTACATTGGTAGATAGGCTGTACTCAAGCGGGGATTTACGAAGGTATCAACTATAAAGTAAGGAAATTACCTGTTACGCAAATATCATCTAGGTTATAAAATATCTTTATAGACCTAGTATGTTATATTTCTTGCGATTTCTGCTGCCGTATTGGTTGGATCTCTCCTAAAAACAGACATTTTTAATGTCAAAGAGACTTTTTAGCTGGGTAAATAAAGGATATGTAAAAGTCACGTTGCCACAAACTTGCAGTTTCTACCTTGTGACAATAGTGTTGTTTGCTATATCATATATCACATGATATCATTCATGAGCCATATGTTTGACATATGTTTGAGAAATTATACACCAACAAGTCACAACAGTTTAAATACAGTCAGTCAATTTTTGCCAATTACAGAAATCACTTTTCTGGCACTATATCAGCATCTCTGATGATGCTTTGCACAGACCTTTTCCATATCCATTTGTGGAGAACAAATGATTATGCAAACTCACACCTCACTAAATGCTCCACACATGCATTCACTTCAGATACAAAGTCTCAAGAGAACTGCACCAGAGTGTAAACAAAAAGGAAAGCGGACCCTGGGAGCACCGAAGGCAGTTTTGTGAGTTGCACATTAATAATTGGAAGATAAAATTCTCAGCTGACTCCTACCTGTCTTGGATTGTCAGGGGGTGGATATGGTATACACAAGCCTATCAGTGCATTGCTCAGTATGAAGGTTCCTCAAAGAGTTCACACTCCTATAGAAGTCTTGCAACAGCTGCAGGACATTTGTTGAATAGTGGCAGAGCATGGCTCCACGCAGATTTACTGTTGAGCTCTTCGTCCCTAATAATGGATGCATCAGAATAGTGACAGGTGCTACTGAAGGGTGTCATGTTGTGGTTAGTGTAGACAGTGCTGCCAGGCAAATTACCAATACTGACAAACTGACAAGCTAAACTCAGAGATACAGGAGCAGAGTGTGCACAGATGGATCTTTGTGGGTATGTCTTAGCATCAGTTGATTTAACAGAGGCTATAGTCAAAATCCTGGAGCAAACTGAGGAAGTAACACATTCAGGATGCCAAGATGACCCATCTCTTTCGTCTGTGATTATGTGCACCCAGGCCCTTAGCGCTGCACTGACCAAACTTACAGTAAACAAGGGTGTGAGAGGTCTGTAGGAGACATGTTAGGTCATATTAAGAGCACTTCTTTATCTGGATTTGGTAATCCCATAAAAGTCTTTATCTGTAAAAATATTTATTTTTATATGTAAAAGTTAGGCTTTCTGTCTTGAAGTGTAACGCTCTCTTTAACTTATGTGCCACCAAAAAGCTTCCTTTTAGTAATTGTGATTAAATGATATGATGCAGTAAATATAAATAAAAAAATAATATTTTCACTGAGGAAAAAAGTTTCTTTATGAAACTGCTTATAAAAAATTTTGATTGATGGATTTTTAATGGCACATGACTTCAGGGAAGAGTCATTGCTGCTGACTACCCCTTGTTTTCGGAAATGGTCACTTCACGGCAAACTAATACAGAATACAAGCCATAGAAAAAATAAATATACCATTTATTCTCAGATGAGGTTTTATTTTCTACATTTTAAAGAAAGCATCACAGACAGTTCTTAAGAGCATTTTTGGTTTAATTCTTTAGGCACTACAAGCATTACACCCACTTAATTGTATTAAATGGTGCAAACACACTAAACAATTTAATGTATAGCACTGATGTTTTTTTACACAGATTTTTTCTTATCTTGGTTAAGGTTTTCAGAGTCATACATGTGAAATTATTTACAAATCCAATCAAAGAAAATTTTGCTCTTTTCAAACTTTAAATTAAATCAAACACTTGCATAACTACGCCGTTCACAGCAAAACCAATAAATCAGCTAAATGTTTCTTCATTGCAGGCATTAGTGAAAATGACTTTTAAACCATTATGTCAAAGGCACAGCTATATTTAGCTTTTCTATTAGTAGTAAATGTAGAAAATCAGGACCTCCAGTTCTCGCTAATACTTTTCGTTATTATGCAATGGATTTTCCATTTCATATCAGGTTGATTAAGTCACAGTGATCTCCTGCAGCAGATCGGCAGGGAAGTAGCCCAGCTTGCGTCCAGTGCTGACCTTCAAGTAGCCGCCTTTCTCATCTCCTTTCTTCACCACAATCTGAAACACAGAGTGACAACAGATTAAGCAACCTTTTTATTATAAAGACAAAGAACTTTGATTTACAATTTGGGTCATAATTTATAAAAGACACATCTTTGTACAAAAACACAGTGGATTTCAAATCAAACAATAGAAATGTATTGAAGTGCAGACTTTTGACTTTAATTCAAGTGGTTTTACACACTTTTTTGCAGAAAAGAAAATGCACTATCTCATGTGTGTGCGCGCGCGCGCGCGCACACACACACACACACACACACACACACACACACACACACACACACACACACACCTGTCTGTGAAGGTTCTCAGTCATCCAGGTCATCGTAGTCTAAAGAGGTTGGAAAGGAAAGCGTTCCAGATTTTAAGCCCTATGGGAGTGTCCCCAAGAGGGTCACAGACCCCCTGTTGATCCTAAAATCTGGGACTCCATACCAATTGCTCTTAGAACTGAAGAAGCTTCTCAGATGAGAGGTGTAACATCTTCAAGGAAACTTAAAGATCCCAGATGCTTTTCTTTCCAAGCTCCTTAAACCACACACACACACACACACATACTGAAGTTACCTGGTCTTTCTTAAGTGTAATTTGTCCCATCTCTCTGTTTCCCACAAAGGAGCGCGTCACCTTGTAAACTCTTTCTGATGCTCGGACTTTTATGAGGTAGTTGGCGGGGAAGTAGCCGGACTTCTCTCCCATCTTTCCCTGACAACACAGAGCAGAATTTGTGTACTCATCATCAATAGCACAAACTGAAACAGCATTTGTAAACCTCTAAGAACTTTAACTCACTCTCCACCACTCTTCATTGGAGTCATCCAACACTGTGATCCGATCACCAGGGCTAGTAAACACATTCTCAGTAAGTGCTTTTGTCACTGGCTTTATATTAAAACTGAAAGTTGATTAAATTTAACAAAATAGAAATAATTATTCATTAGTGTTCAGATTTGATTGTGATTTTCTTACTGAAAGTCAAGGTCATCTTTCTCAATGGCCTTGAAGCGGTAGAGAGCCAGGTAATAGTGGGACTGGGAGAAAGTGCCTTTAGTCTAGGGACAAAAAAAGCATGGATGCTAATTTATATGGCAAATGTTATTAAATGTAAATTAAAAACAAAACATGCACGTATGGTGCTACTTAGCAACAAAGCGTTACATGTATGAAATAATCGACTGCTTACCTTGTCATCTGCTTTGTCTCCTCCTTTCTCTTTTTTATCATCAGGCTTCCCTGTTTGAGTATCAGACATCACACAATCATATCTTTTATGACTAACTTGCATATTTTACACCACAGAGATAAGCTCTTGCTTTAACTCTACCTTCTCCTCCCTCCTCATTCTCTTTGGGCTGTTGGTTCTCCTCTTCCTCCTCTTCCATCATCATCATCATCTAGAGGACACAGCAGTGTTAAAACAGCACTGATCACTGATTCCCCTCTTCCACAGATTAGGTGTCCTTTATTTCTTTTAGTTTGTTTCTTTTGTGTTCTTTTTTCATATTTTTGTTTGCATGTACTATAAAATTGGAAATAGTACAAAATAAAAAGTTTAAAAAAAAACCAGCACTGATCTCATATTTTATATATAAAACATGAAATCTGTTCTTAAAATGATTTCAAACAATGCATTTTCTTGATTACATAAATTGTATTTATTTTGTTTGCAGTGAGTCAGTCCCTGAAAACTGTTGAAATTCATAGATTTTATGTTTTGATTAAGATTATTATAAATGCTTACATTTTTCTTATCATTTTCATTCTTCTTACGCTCCTTATTTGCCATGATGACGCCAACCCGCAGGGTGTCGAAAACTGGGTCGTTCCGGTTTGGGTTGTCTGGTTAAGGACAGGGATAAACACAAAATCAACATGGAGTATAAGAATTGCTACACTGCACTAGATTGACTAGTCTATGTTTTCAAGATCCCGAAGAGTTAATCTAAAAAGGAAAACTATATTTACTCATTCAGATATTTCTAAACATCTGCAGATTCCAAGATCATCAGTTCAAACAATTGTACATAAGTTATTCAAATGTGTCACCAGATTGCCGAGATCTGGAAGAAGACTCGAATGTCACCTGCAGAAGAGTGAAGGAACCCAGGAACCACTAAGATTCAAGCCTGCCATGAACTTGAAACTGTTCAAATACCAGTGTCACTGTCCACAGTGTAGTAACTTTTACATCACTCTGGACGGAGTGGGTGTTGACCAAGAAAGAAACCTCTGCTCCAAAAACACCACTTTCAAGCTTGGTCAAGATTTGCAGCAGCCCACATGGACAAGTCAAATGCCTCCTGGAGAAAAATGTTATGATCAGACAAGACAAAGATATAACTATTTGGCCACAATGACAAGTGGTATTTTTGGAGGAGTAAAGGTGAAGCTTTCAGACCTAAGGACACTGTACCAACTGTTAAGCATGGTGGTAGTAGCATCATGCTTTGGGGCTGTTTTGCTGCCAGTGGTACTGTTATAGTGTACAAAGCGGCCGGAATAATGAACAAGGAGGACTACCTACAAATTCTTCAAATTCACCTCAAATCAACAGCTAGATGGTTGAAACATGGCTGGTTGGATAGCAGGAAGCCAACAAATTTATACTAATTCTGCCAAGATGAATGGTCAAGTGTATCATTATGTCAGAAGCTCGTTGATGACTACCATTTTTTCTGGTCAGGTTATACCTTGCTGAGAGACACTGAACCAATTTTTAGTGGGGTTGTATGTATATATTTGAGACCACATGTATACTTTTGACCCCTGTATAGATTATAGATTATAAACTTGTGTACACAATTATTGTTTTTTTCAAGTCACTAAGGGTGTATACTGTACAATCATTTCCCCCTGGAACAAGAACAAACCAAAGAATTAAAATGCTAAAATTACCGTGACCATCGTGATAAATTCTTCTTCTTATTAAATCACTGATATTTAGTAGTTGGAGCCACTTCAGTTGCTGCACGGAGGACCAGGGGAAATAACAAAGTGAAGGTAAGTGAATGTGAATTATGGAGGGAAAATAACCAAACAAGTGTTTGCTGTTTCACTTTACTTGTTTTTTTTATTTTATTTTAGTGTTAACTAAATGTATGACGCACTGGGATAAAAGGATCAGTGTTATAGTGACACAACACATTCTGCTGTTTTTCTAAGAAATATTATTTCCCAACACAAAGGTCAGAATGTTGCTTGAACGTCTGCTTTGCACTGTCCTTTAAAAATGTTTTTCTTTTTAAATTTTGCTGTCATTAAATTAATCATTTCAAGCACATTTAAGTTTAAAAATCTTTAAATGCAGCTTGTTAAATATAATGACTGCAAGTGTTGCTAAAGAGAAAATGCAGACACCGTGCTTAGTTTCCTTTGCGATAGCAGCCTTGAATTTAAGGTTAAGAAATTTATATACACAAGAGATATATTGCCGTTCCAGATTCAGTGGACTCACTTGGGTCTGGTTGGTCACTGCTGTACAGAGGGGAGCTGTAGGCCCTTCTGAATCCAGGCGGCTACAGGAAAGAAGAAAAAAAGTTTTTTAAAAAAGTTTTAAAAAATATATCTCTCTCACTCTCAAGGGCAGTAAAAGGAAACTGCAGATGTTACAAATATAGTTTCATATTCAGTGCACATCAGCAAACTCACAATTTTGCCAAAACACCTCTGAAACTCAACATACGACTGACATGAGTGGTGGATGTTGGTCTTACAGTTTTTGCATCTCAGGCAAAATTTGTTGTTCACTGAAAGATGAGGAACCAAAATTAACAGTCTCAATTTTTAGAACAAATACCTATGGGATTATATGATGATTGATTATTTATATCATTAATATAAAAAAACAGCACTTACAGACTATCATGCGAGCGCAGACGTCACAAAACTTGGGCTTCTTGCAGTAGTGGTCCTTGAATTTGTGGGGTTTGTCATTGACCCGGACAAGCTCTGAAGGAGGTTCTGGTTCCTTCTCCTCCACCTCCACTTCCTCCTCATATATGAAATAGACCTACAGACCCAAGGGACATATGTCAGACAAAAAAACCCAACAACAAAGATGTGATAGAGTTGTTATATAAGTTGTTATTAAAGTTTTTAAATGTTAAACATACTGAGCTGCCAGTGTCAATGTCACACAGTGTTGTAAAGTATTACATTAGTGTCTTGCCTTGTTTGTTTATCAGCTGGTACCTGATCTCTGTCTTACATTTAGCTTTTCAGGACCTAGTGAATAACATTTCGATGACTAATCCAGATCAGCCAGCAGTGCTCAGTTTTTTTCCATAAGGTTGTATAAGACAGGGACACTTAAGCTCATATTGTTTCCAGCTGATGCTGCACTGCAACCATGTCCCAGTTGGTGGCTATTTTAAACAGCCCAAGAATTGCACTGCTAATGGCGGGGGGTTGACATGGTGCTGTCACTCACAGTGTCTCCGTCCTCCCTCACTACATTGTCAGGAGCTGGGGGGTTGTCATGGATATCCACAGAGTTTTTGTCATCGTCCCTAACACACACACACACACAAAGAAAAAACACACTCAGCCATGAGTGAGGTTAACTGGTGCGGCTATAGATAGTTATTTTGTTTATTCTCAACATTATGATCACTTTTAATTCTAAAGGAACATGTAAGCATATAAAGTGAGGAACAAGGTTTTGCATATAAACAATCTTTAAAAAAACCAAACACAAGTAAAAGTGAAACTGCCATTCCACCTTAAAATAGTAGAATCATGGCAATTTAATATAAGACTCAATTTGTTTAAGGATATCCTTGCCGCACATTCTTTCAAGTGGACATAGAGCTGCTTTAGACATGATGCTCTAGAATATTTTTATGGCATGGGCTAGTGCAGTATTTAGTAAACAGGAAATGGAATTAAGACTTAAATGGTAAACAGGTGCTAAAACTAAGCCAATAAAATGAGTATCAAGAGGCGAGTATATTGATTTTAAGAATTATACTTACGGCTCCATGGTTTGATGTAGACAGCGTTAGTTCACCTCCACCTAGAAAGTAAAGAGTTAGGTGTTGTTTTTTCCCCCCAAAAGATTATGAGACAATTTAATAAAAGTTATATCATGAGAGAATGTATTACTAATTATTTGTTTACTCAAAACTTTGAAATACTTAGCCCATATCCACTATTATGTCAAATTGTTTTCAAAGTAGGTGCTACTGAAAAGTTAAATACACATTTCTGAACTTCTTAGAGGGAAGTTGAAAGAAATATCAGAAAATAAGCCTGCATTTGGTTTTGATTAAAAATGTATTTAAGAAGTATCAAATGTGGTAATACAATAGAAAATATATTCCTGTGTCTGTGTGAACGCTACATGCACTTGCATATCCACGCAGTGTTAGAATGTGCTCGTCTTCTATACTATTCTAGGGTTGTGAAATTTAATCTCATCACAGCTAAATTTGGCTGCCTCTGTCAGCCTGGAAAAAAGCAAAAAAAAATAAAAAAAATGTTCTGGAAATAAAAAAAATCTGAGTTTGTAAAGTGACAGAGATAATCTCAGAGTTGGGGTTGTTTAGCTCGTGTTTTAAAACTAATGGAACTTCACTCAAATTAATTCAAATAAACTGAGTGATTATAACACAGGTCATGCACAAACATTTTTTCATTAAAAACATTCTTTAAACTACAGTATTGGCCTACCTTTTGTCTAAATTTGTACAGATCGCACTGAAGAAATCATAAATCCGTTGTGCTGGCAAAATCTCAGTGAATGGGTTTTCACCTGCTGGCAATGACCAGAGCCCTGTATGGTCAGTATGTTACAAAGCAGCTTCACTTCAGGCCCTCGGGATGCTGGGCTGTCAAAAAGTCTGGTCCCTCTGTGTTTTTTAGATATTTTCCAAAGTGACTTTAGGTTGTAGTTTGAGTGTATATCTGGAGATGTGTATCTATGATTTTGGGTGTGTGCTTGTGTGCATGCCAGGCTTAGCGGTCCTATGTCAAGCTGACACTTTGCAACAGCTGAGGACCTTGGACTGAGCACCGATGACGGGGGGAAATCAGATACAATTTCTCCTTCTGTCTTCAATACATCTCTTTCCCCTTGTCCCACTTGTTCAAATTAACAATGCCGGTGGCCTTTATAATAAACATATTTTTTCCATATCATGCTGTATCTGTGTGCATATGAATTATTATCATTGTGCTATACAGTTATGATATGCCCCTTACTATGTTTTACTATATATATATATATATATATATATATATATATATATATATATATATATATATATATATATATATATATATGCCTAGAGTATGTTTAACTTTTCATATAAAATTCGTGATGTGGGCCACAAATGCAGTGTAGACAGGCGGAAGTGAATCCACTATTGTCAAGTGAACACATGTTATTATTCTGTCATTATCATGTCCTCTGTCAAGGAGCTGAACACAGCTTCATTCAGGTCTGTCTGGAACACTACAAAGGTCCCGTTGCATGTCGGGTACAATATTCCTTAAGCGTCTAATGCGCATGCTCAACAGTAAAAACTCCATTATTTTTTGCTCGGAATTTGTGAGAAAAAAAAAAACAGTGGGCAACTGTGAATTGGGGATTACATGGGCCGTTATGGTTGTGGGAATATACCTGAAAGCTCCACGGTTTAGCAGAAGAGAAAGCAAAGCAACGGCTGGATAGCTGCAGACCGGGAGCGGGACAGCCTTCAGTCTTGTCGGGACACTCCACAATCAAGTAAATTTCAGTCAGTTAGCTGACTGGCTAGCTAGCCTAGCTGGTTGCAGCGTTAGCTCCGAGATCCCAGGCGCAGTAAAATGAAGCGTTATTGCCCTTTGTTTTTAAGTCGGACTGGCAGACGTTGTATGAATGCTGAGAGCTGAATGCGCACACCGCTACGGGAATTGGATTACACAGTGACTTATTTTGCGCTCATTTATTAAAGTATCAGCCGTTTTCAAAACATTATCTGGCTAGCCCGTTTGCTAGCCAGCTAACTCTTGATTCTCCCGCGAGCCAGAAAAGCCAAGACTCCAAAACTTCGCCAACACAGAGCCTGACGCAGAGAAAAGGTTGGTAGGACCTGCTAATATTGACGTTAGCTAACGGATATCAATAAGTAAAGTGTGATGTAGGTATCCGATTTATAAGAGGTTTTTTCACAACGCGGTATTGTGCATGGGTCGTGTGTTGTTACTGCAGCTAACGGGCAAGAGTTTTGTATTGGAGTGTTTTGTGCGCCTGACAGCTGTCACGACAACACAGTACAAAGTAGGGTGGCTTGCTAGCTTAGCTGTTAGCCTGGACGCTAGCTGCCGTGTATGAGCCGTGTACTTTGTGGGATGTTTTTTTTTCATACTTTACGCTATTTATGATACAAAATTAAGAAAAAAAGGATACTTCAGTTCAGAGCTATATTAATTGCTCTTTCATGTGCCAGCGTGTTCGCTTCGGAGTTGGTTGTTGCAGCTGCTTATACTGTCGCTAAACACTGAGTAAACTACGGGCCTAGGCAAACACACCCTTCTACTTCAAAGCAGCCAGAGCTTACTCTGAAGTTCTTCTGGGGAAGACTAATACATCTGATGTCGTCGTTTTTCAAACACGCTTAGATCATATCAGTTACAGAATAGGTTTGTTGCACGATGTCTTTACCGCGGGGGTCGCTGCCAGATTACATAATCCACCTCCACCTTTCTTTGCAGGCTCTCCACCTTCACCCACATCCCTACTCTGATGTGAACTGAACTAATAAATCTGCAGAAGTCATCCTTCAAGAGAGGGATCTGCCTCATAGCTGAAGAAAGTCGAGGTGTTTGGGCAAGTCAGGTTTTACTGGCAGTGTGCTTCTAACCCACCAGCATGTACACTGGACAGTGGATACTCTAGCCAAAACAGATCCTGGCTTCCCAAAGATGACAAGGTATGCAACTTTCTTTTTGTTTGTCTTGGTATTACTTTTACATTGATAATAAACCAAAAACCGTTCTTTTGCTGTGGCCACTCCCCCTTTTCAACATGTTTACATCACATTCATTCTCTAGGGGCTTGTATTATCTTCATCACAGACATAAGAAAAGAAACTGCTGGGTACTTTCCCAGAACTTTTCGACACACAGATGACAGCTAAAAAGTAAAGGAAATGATGCTGAATTAGTAGAGTGGAATTAATTTGCAGTGCTTCCCATGTTCATGCTGCTTACTTTAGTTCAGATCTTGGCTGATTTCATCACCATGCATAGGGTACATTTTGTAATGTTTGATATCCGAGATGAGCAAAATTTATTGTAGCATAAGCATGAAAAATTGAACTATTTTTCTGGTTAGACTCCAACAAGTCCCAGATGAAAGGGTTGGGGATGAGTAAGCATCTGGTTCATAGAGGCTTTAGTATAGACACCCTTGACAACCCGTATAATGTAGAGATAGCAGGATGAGGGGGGAGGATAGATGGCTTGAAACCTAAAGTAGATGCTGAGACTAAACAACTGTTTCCCCCCTATAAGAGTATTTAGCATTGGATTTCTCTTTGTGTTTAAGTAAAGTTGTGCAGTAGGGGATACCACAATGGTTAAAATTTCGTTAGCAGCACAGTCCCTGGGTCCACTCTCGACAGGCTGAACTGTTACTACATGATACCTTCATGTTACCCCCCTCCTTATGTTAAAAGACAAGATGTGTTAACACTTCCTGCTTTTCAAGGTGCTGGCAGGCTACAAAATGATGGGAGGCAGTGATACTGTCAGTGGGGACAAGGATGGGGTCCACACCACTGCAATACACGTCCCCATCGGCTGGCAGAGGAGAGTGGAAGGAGGGCAGGTACTCTATGTCAGGTACGTTGGTTCCACACACATGAACTTGCTGATTTTTAATAGTTGGGCAACAGGTTTTGAAAGCACACCACTGAATAATTGTTACATAATGTATTCTTGAAAAATGACAGTACTGGTTTTGCAAACATATTTTGGGGGATGTTACCTGGCAGGATGACTGCGGTTTTGGATTAGTTTTTTTGAAGTTTGTTTCTAGCTATAGACAACAAAGAAGACAAGAAAATGTTTTATGCACTTTTAGGCAGTGCAAAGTGAGTAAAATTAAATGTGTTAATTATAATGTTCTATTTATTCTGGTGAGCACTTATTCTGGTTCTATTTATTCTTATTCTGGTGGTTTTAAATACTTGTGTTTTCAAGCATACTAGGTCTTAGTGGGGGCTCAAAAGCAAGTGACAGATTTAGGCTTTTTATATATATTATGTTGTTTCTACCAAAGAGAAACATACTTTTTTCTTTGTTATCAGTCGTTCATCCTGAAGATCACCTAAAGACTTCTTAGATTTACTGCAGTTGTGCTCCACTCCACACTTGCCCTCTTCTTTTGCCGTGAAAGGATTCCCTTTGCCTTAAAATACTGGGCAGCTGAGGCAGAGAAAAAAGTATTTCCATTTGGATAACAATATTTTTGTTGAGCAGTGGTTTGGATCATACTTGAATTTAGACATAAAATGTGACATTGTAAATATGAAATTTTGTATTACTCATTATTAGCCACTGAGTTGGAAAGAAACTTGGCTGAAATTAACTGTTCATTTTTTATTTATTTTTTAAACTGTTCATTTTAATGTTAGCCATAACCTGCATTACTAACTAGTAACCTATCTAATGCCAGACACCCCAGCCCTGGAGCAAGACTCTGAAACTTTGCTTTTTGTTAGATATACCCTGATTGAGACTTAACGCTTCAGAGGAGGTTGTGCTATATGTTGCCAATTCTCCATGGAATATTTTTTAATTATTGGGCCAGTTTGTGCATTTTACAGGTGTAGAAGCACCACAGGAGTGGATTTGTGTCCTTCAGACTCTCGTATGGGTCAGCAGTGTTTGCAAATGACACTAGTGGTTTCTCTCATTGAACTGGATTGAATCAAACCTTTTTTCATAATTATCTTCTGCACATTTGTACAGTCAGCAGGGAAACTTTTACTCATGACTGGGAGTCTCAAGCATGTAGCTCTCTTGCCCTTCTCCATTAGCTCCCCATGGCTCTAACCAGGAAAAAAAACACAAACTGCATGAATGTTATGATGGAATTGAAAAATGCACAAGTAGTTTATGTTTATCAGCTGAGACCTTACTCCTAGTTTTGCTGAACCTCACTACCAGTGGCTAGTATGGATGTAGACCCATAAATGGCTGGTCTCCCATAAGTTGTTCATGAATGACTTTGTTGATATTAAAGGTTGGCAAACGCTTTCCTAGAATGAACAGTATACATGTCTCTGCTCTGAGAGCTGCAGCTTTAGCTTGAGCTCAAATTGATTTGGCTCAGTTGCACCATAATGCTGCCTACAAATGATTCTTGAAAGGAAAAATTCCTTCTGTGGCTGCTATGCCTTGCGATTATGTGTCACGCTCAATTTTCTTCTGGCCTTGAACAACTCATACATCATTGTCCACCCCTTTACACCCTACGCATAGTTGCATTTTTCTGACATTTTGCACTGGCTGGTGTTAGGTTCAGAGCCAGGGCAGAGTTTGTGCTTTAACTGTGTCTCATTTGTTACAGTTTCTCTCTGCCTTCTTCCTGTAGTCCCAGTGGCACAACCCTGTCCAATCTGGAAGAGGTCAAGACCTATCTGATGACTGATGGCACCTGCAAATGTGGCCTCGAGTGTCCTCTCATCATCAACAAGGTGTTGTCAGTCTGTCAGTTTGTTTGTGCTGTTGATTTGTGTGTTTCTAGTAAGGTTTGGCAATACACAACAGAGTTTTAGATTCAGTAAGCTCTGTGGTGTTAATCTCACTCTCATTCTTGTGTCACAAATATACTTGTGGATCACAGCTAAGCAGCTGTTGTACATTTTTCCTAGTCGGCATGGAGAATACTTATAGGAAGCATGTCTAGTTAGATTTGTCTGTTCAAGTAGTCACAACAAATTGATTGGGACACAGATGTC